ACTACCTGTCTTCGGAAAACATCGCGCTTTTCCGGAGAGACGTTCCGCGCGGCCGTCAGGGCGGCGCCGCGTTCGGAAGCGTTCGGGTGTTTCCGTGACTCCTCACGGGCCAGCGCGGCCGTTGGCGGGCGGTTAGCCGAGGGCAGCGCGGCCTCGGTGGCAGAGCCGTTCTCCCGGTGGGGAGGAATCGCGATCCTGCCAGGCAGGTGGGGGCAACAAGGGGAATTGCGGGGGGGAGATAGGAATGGGAATGTCTCCTCTTACCTACCCCCTCCTCCCCTTCCGCCCGGGCGCTCGATGTACAGGCAGGAGCCATTTTGTGCGCGGCGCGTGTTCCTCGGGGCCGCGCTCGGCGGCGAGGAGGGTGTTAAAATGTCCCTGGGACGGCGGCCGCGCGGGTCGGGCCTTATCCCCGGTGTGTCTCTGGGAGGTGTGAGCGGCGGGCGAGGGGCTCGTCGTGGCCGTGCACACGCGTTCCGGGTCTGCCCAGTGTTCGGGGAGCTCGGGGCGCTCACTGTGTCGGGAAGATTCCCTGCTGTTGTCAGAGCCTCCTTAGCCCCTCAGGGTGGTGCCCGGTGACAGAACAAGGAGTGATGGCCGTAAACTAAAACACAAGAAGTTTCACCTCAGCATGAGGAAGAACTTCCTCGAGTTGAGGGTGGAAGAGCACTGAAATAGGCTGGCCGGGAATGGCGTGGATTCTCCCTCTGCTGAGACATTCAAAACCCACTTGGATGCTCCAGGTGACTCTGTCTTTGCCAGGGGGTTGGACTGGATCATCTCCAGAAGTCCCAACCCTAACCATTATGTGATTCTGTAATTTTTTGCTTATTTCTGACCAGGCCCTCGAAGTTTGAGGTACAAAGCATCCTATATTCAAGATTCTATAAAGGTACTATAAAATATATAATAAATACTTTGATGCCATTGCCGTGACAGTGGCATAGGAGCCAGCAGTTTTCAGTAAAGGTTTAAGAACATACGCCAAATTTTGTCCTGTCTCCCTCCTGAAAAGGGAAGAGATGTGGCACATCTCAGAGTGGGCATGTTAAACAGAGAACCTTGCCCCGGTGCTCCATCTGTGCTAGTGAGGCATTATTCATGGCGACACTCTTACAGATTTTTTTCTGTTTCTTTGTTTGTTTTCCTTTAATTGGAGTGCAGAAGGCCGTTGCTGAAAGGGGACTTCAGGGAGTGAGTGCAGGATGACTCAGCAGGGAGCTGTTCTTCAGGGTTACAATAATGAACTAGTGAAATGCATTGAAGATTTATGTATGCAAAAAGAAGAACTGAACAAACAGATCCAGCAAGCAGAAGAGGAAAAGAATAAACTCCAGCATGAAATCCAAGTCCTCAGTGAACATCTAGAGTGTGTATGTGAAAACCTGGCCCAAAAGGTGGCTTCACGGAATGAGCTTGATAAAATACTTGCTGAAACTGAAGCTGCTTACATGAAGATTTTGGATAGCTCTAGAACTTTACTTAATGTCCTGAAGAAGGAAGTGGGGACCTTAAAGCATTCACCAGATCTGAAAACCAATGTAACGTGAAACAGTCAAATGTTTGGACTCTGCAGTGCTAAAATTTCACTAGGTGAGAAACGTGGTCAGCCACGGAACCTTACAGCCACAGTATAAACAGAGAGAGATTTTCTTCCAGTGTTTCTGTATGTTTTATTATTTTCAAATGCACTAGAAAATAGATGAAATAAAGTTGCTGTTTTGTTTTAAAAAATCTATTTAATCGAACACTACAAAAATTAGCAAATAGGTAGTTGAGGCAGATAGGAGACTGTCAGTTTTGACATGATGCTTCAAGGCTTAGAAAAAAGGCATGTTTTATTGCATGACTTCAGATGGGTCATGGTAAATTATTCTTTGAAAACTAGTTGGATGCAAGTCAATCAGCTACTACTTTATTTCACTTTACAAATGCTTAGGCTTTGCTGTTGGGACCAAGTAGAAATGAGATGTTTAGCTTCCTCTAGGAGCTTGGAGTTCTGTCTGATGCATGCACAAAGACAGCCCCGTTTACAATAATCACCTACTTGAAAAATAGAGGGATAAGGTGAAAACTGGAGTAATGCAGGGCATGGTGGCTTAAACACTGTATGTGGTTCATGCATATTCTGAAGCTATTCTTCAAAGCATTTCTTAGAAAGGAGATGTGCTGCAGTGAAAGTCAGGTTTGATGCAAGTGCACAGACAGCTACACCATGAACATTTGGACCAGTAATTCACCTGGGGGTAAGAAAAACGTGTCAGTAGCGACTAGAAGTCCTGAAAAACCAGTGGGGTCCAGTTAAAAATACAGAGGTAAGAAGATAATCCTGGCTAAAAGCCAATAACAATTTCTGGAAGCCTTTTTAGTGCCTTTTAGCTCTATACTGATCTATTAAATAATTGTAATAAGATTGTGGAGAATAATGAACATCCTGAAATTATGTGAAAGAAGTACAAATGAAAGGTGAAAGAAGAAAATTGAGAAGTGGGTTGCAGCTATCAGCCTTTCTTACAGAGGACATTGAAAGAACTTAGTTCAGAGGTCAGTTTAGACGTAACAGCATGGCATAAATTTCAATGTACTGCTGTTTTCTGTTTCTGCTGAACTTCTTTGTTCAGCAGAAATCTCAGCAGCGTGTGTGTATGTACACGTGCATTTTGTCCCACTTACACATGTTACAACAGTAACTTTTTAAGCTGTGTCTTGTAGTAAAATCTTCATTCAATACCAATTAATTAAAAGGAAAGAAGTGTAATTGAAATCTCCTTACTTGATAGTGGTGTGTCTCTCAGGTGCACATATAGAGGGAATGGAAATGTGAATAGTTTTGGTAATAGCTCTTCATCAATAACAGGGAGTAAATTTTGTGTTCTTCTGGTTGCCAGGCTATATCAGGGATGAGTGTGAATGAGCTAATCGAAGTTTATTTACTTGTACGGACTTCCAGGGGCTTCCCTCTGGGGAATTCCCAGTGGGTAATGCAGAGGTGATGAAATTACATCATCTCAGGGGTATTGCTGTTGAAGTACTGCAGCACCTTGTTTATGTTGAAGTGAATTTTTAGTAGCAAAAAAGTGATTTATTTGGACATTTCATGACATTCTGTCTGCCCTTAGAATGGTAGTAGTAACTGATTTACAGCAAAATAGAAAGACTCAGGAAAAGAGAGCAAGAACTTTCGAGTTGCAAATGTAAACTGCTGCACTGGAACTCGAAATTGTGAAAAACAATTTATATCACAGAAAGCTCACTTACAGAAAACTAGTATTGGTCTCACACAATAATTACAGGTTTGTTTGCCTTAGAGTAATCTTAAATAATGCCTGTTCTACTGAAACTGATAAAACTAAAGAAGCTTTAAGAGAAGCCTTAAAAGTCTTTAAATAAATCTACTTCACAGCCATTATTATGTCTAGTTGTAGGTAACTAAGTAACCGGAGATGCTTCAATTTTTTTTTTTTACAAAACTAAGGGAAAAATGTAACTGTTGTCTAGTACTTTTGCACATACTGGGGCCTCCCAACATTCAAATAAAAAGTTGAAACGATGCTAGAATTTCATTCAGTGACCCCAGTCTAAAATTTCCATTTTAATTCACATTTAAAAGTGAAGAGAAATAATATATCTCTAGGGCTTGCCTGTTTTTAGAATAACTCCTAAGTGTGGCAGTCATTGTGCACCTGTAGAGTTGCTACTCAAAAGAGTGTTTAGCATTATATTCTGTATTGACCCAGATCAACCCTTTTATTGAAGTGGTAACCTTTTTCACTGCTTTTTCAGGCACTATAAATCTTGACATGAATAGCTTTTGTTAAACAACTTCACTTTGTTCAGAAAACATGCAGACTGAGTTGGTCCAAAGGATTGCTAGAAGAGAAATGATAATATGCAGATGGCAGCAGCTCTGCAGGAATAGCCTGAAACAAAAAGACTACCTGGAATAAGGCAGGTCATAAGTTTAAAGTATCTACTTATTCCTTACTTAATTTTTATATTGAATTTTTACAACTCTGGGTGTGACCCAGAGTGCTTACAGTTTAGGAGCCTTACTGACAAAAGTTGGGTTCCTAATCAAAACTGCTGTGTTGTGTGTTCTGTATCTTATTTAGTGTATGAGAAGACACAGTTTTTGAAACTCCTACTTGTCCCTGATTCAGAGATTTAGTGAAATGCATCTAGAGCATTGGTTTAAAGTCCTGAATTTATGTAAAGGCACCTTTGCCTGATTTCCAAATTACAGAACATAACTGGAAGAGATCTGATGATTCCCTGCTTTTATAGCAATGCTTCTTGAAAATGTGCCTAGCACTTAAAACACTGGTGATCAACAGTTTTTTCAAAACACTTGACTGTTGACTCCTTGCAAGTAAACTGAAGAGAATTTGGCAGTTATCAAAGAAACTGCTTGTGGGTGGTATGTTGAAGTAGAAGTAATTTTTGGTGTGGAAGTGAGTGTAGGAACCACTGGGTGAAGTATTTATGCCAGCAGCCATTCACACCCCATTACTGTCTCTTTTCAGAGGTGCTTACCCTGCAGTTCAGGTACCTCCCACATAAAGTTTCTGTTAATCACCTTACAGAAATGGGAGTGGACTGGGGGCTTGTCCTAATATTAAAGGTAGGAAACAAAGAGAAGGTATGGATGGTTCAAGAAGACTGGGGCATGAGGTGGTATGATAGGGAGGTGGAGTTTCTCCTTATTTCTGTCTGCTCTAAGTCTACCTGTACTGAGCTACTGCCTACAGTTCTTGCTAGCCAGTAAATCAAATTTTAGAAATCATCTGAGCTTCATCTGAACTCTGGACTTTTCCCACCTTCCTTTAAGCCCACTGATAGTCAGCAAAAGAGGCAACCTGTGTTTTGTTTTTCTGTCTTTTATTTCTTCCTGTTAGGTAAGCATGCTGCAGGCTCACACAGGATGCAGTGCTGTTCTTTCCTGTCCTCATTGCTCTCCTATGAACAGACCTCAGTGAACTGCTTGGGTTTTATAAAGAACCTCAAAATCTGTGTGTACTTGACGTACTGTGTATCTTTAGTCTAAACCCAGGTGGCTGAATCTTGGATTGTTGTTTTTGAGAATCAGTCCCATCTAAGTCTTGGGGTACAAGTGTGTTCCACTTCAGATTGATTAAGTGGATTAAGCTAAACTGGAACAAGGTACTGGTAATTCTATAACAAGAACATTCAAAAGTTTGCTAGCCAAAGGATCAAATGTCTACAGTTAATTCCTCAGACAGATGAGTCTTGTGCAGAAGACCAATATCTATTGCTCCTTAGATGATTTTGATTCTTAGGAGTGATTTGAGTGATAAGGTGTAGCTTGTGGCAGTTGCCTTAACTTTGAGTAGACCCTAGATTCTTGGGGTTTTATGCAAGAAGTAAACTAAACAGTTATTTTTTTATAATTTATTTCAGTTTTTAAAATTTCTTCCTTTTCAGGAATGAGCAAAGAAGTATTAATAAATACTTCAGTGTTGATTTATTTATGTGTGTTGGTCATTTTCTTTACAGATGAATAGACAAGTTTTCCTAAAATCAGAGTGCTCTTTTAGCTTTAATGTATGTGTATGTATAAATATAGATGTAAATATTGTCTTTCTTCTCTTTTGGGTGAAGGACAGACTAGCCTTTGATTTAATTTGTGCACCAGTTGCTTTATCAATGTCTCTTGTTTTACTGGGGAGGAGTTAGGCACCGTGGCCACTTCTTGGGTATCTGTTCTATGCCTTTTTTAAACTTGGGATAGATTTTTTGTTCTCTGTCCCTTAACTATGTCTATTAGTAGATGTCCCAGAGTAGTCGTTGATGGTTGTCAGCCTCAGTTGGTTTCAGATGAAGTTTGGTTCACTAAGCTGTAAGTTTTGGTTCAAGCTGTAAAACCCAGCTACTTGCATGTTAGGTGTTGATAAAACATGGAGAGGTTCAAGGTTGCAGAACAGGGAGTTATATGGTCATTCATAGCTCTATCTTGTGGAGTTTGTGGGAAAAGTAGTTCAGTGTTGTAGTCTGTATTTACAAAAATAGTGTGCTGGTAGACTTGGGGCTAGTAGAACACTTTCATTTTGTAGTGGTTTCAAAAGTAGTTTCACCGAGATCTTGTGAAGTGGAACAATTTGCAGGGCAAATTTGTTTGTGCAAGACTATGGATATGCTGCAGTAACTACAACAGAAAATTAGCAAATTATAGTACAAACTTCGGTATTTTATTTAGCAGCACAATGGAAAATTAACAGTGTAAAATACATGCATTTTGATTATTGCATACCTGTTGTTTGTGACCCAATGCAAAGCTGATAGTATGTGTAAGTATGCCTAATCTGAATGTCACAAATGGGAAAATGTTACTTTTGGAATTCATTTTCATCTAGGATTCATCCATATTAGAGGAAAACAAGCACATTCAGACAGAGATCATGTTCAGAAAAAGGCATTTGAAAAAAGTCCTGGCCATCATGCTCTGGACGTGGGATTGATCATGATTCCACTGACTTTGATGGGAGCTTGTTTCTCTCACACCTCACTGATCAGGGCCTGTGAAGTTTCATGAGGTGGCTTCTCCTCTCAGCCTTAGCAGCAGTCGTGTAGAGAGTGCATGTACTTGGTCCTGAAGGATTTAGAACACTGTTGGGTATTCTTGTTTACTATCTTGTGTGAAGTAGACATGCATCTCCCTAGTCAGCCTAAATCAAGACCACAGGAGTGTTAGAGATTATGAAACAGAGAGGCTGAACAATTTTTAATACCTACTTGGAAATATGTTTGAAATTACAAAACCTAATAGACTTGTCACAGACCATTTTAAAGTTAAATCTTCACAGGTGTTATTTTTTGAGCTTCATATTCATAGGTTCTCTTGCTTCAGTCAGAGCTCCCATAATTGGCTTGAGGTTTTCCATTGGTATGGGACATATGGGAGCGCTTCTAGGAAATTATTTACATCATAGTCTGTGACAGATTTGTAATTTGCTTTTTTTAAAAATATATAATTGATTTAGTTGACTGTAGTAAAAAGTATCATATTTCCTAAAGGCTTTTAAAGTACTATTTGTTGTTGTTGTATGATTATTAACAAGTTGATACAACTGGGATACTGATTCTGATCAGGCATGTCTGTCAATTCCTGACACAAAATCCTTTTCATATTCTGCAAGCTTACACTTTTTAAAAATCTTTTTCCTTGCACAGAAAGAGCACTTTAAGTTGAATATCAGCATGAGAGAGTTTGTTTTTTGAAGTTTTTTTTAATATAGTTAGTATTCAGGGCTGAATCATACACTGTCAGGTGTTTAAAACAAAAAATTGGCAGTAATTCTTATATATGGTTTTGCAGTTGTTCAGTAATAGAAATCCTGCTAGACGTTTGTGCTGCTCACTGCCTTGTTGTGAGATTAATTGCTGTAACTCATGAACCCAAGATGCTCTTTGCTGTAGAATACTGACTCTTCCTTAAGTATTGTTGCTAGCGTGAGTGGAATGGATACTCTGTTGCAGGGAATGTGGGGCGAAAGATGAGCTGCCTTTTTAGTAGAGACCGCCATCTGGAAAGAAAGAAGCATCCTTGTTATCCTTGTCCATGGTAAAGTGATGTGAGACAATTCAAATGAACTTTTTAGAATGGTCATAATTCTCTGTTGTAAGGGTCACTGAAGCAAGCTGAAAAAAGGAAAACCCAGTCCATGCTGTCAGTCACAAGGAATGTGATACCTGATTGCAGCCAGGTTATCTTTAAACACAGGCTCTCAGGTGCAGCTGGAAGCAGCGTAGCTGCTGCAGGACTGGGTTCAGTGAGGGTTGGTTTACCCTGCCAGGAGCAGTTGGCCCTGTGCACACAGTTAGGAAATCTGATACACTCTGGAGTCACTTGACTTGTTAGAAAAGTGTGACCTCTTCCTGTTCTTTAAACTCAGGGAATTATAACCCCATAAGAAGGATATTTATTTAAAATCCTGTACTGTTTAGTGTTTTTTCTCTGAAGCCTAAAGTGTTCTTGTTTTAGATTCAGGTTGTTCAAGTTCAAGTACCTGTGAGCAAAAATACGGATGCCCAAGTTCCACTGAAGCCCACAAGCCTTTAAGTTGTTGGTATTCACTGTGTAGTACAAGTCAAATGCAGTCTTAATCCTTCAGTCAAGTTGCAAACTTTGTGGCTTCTCTTACTTTAAATTATTTGCACGAAGTATTGCTTGCTCAGCTTGGAATGTGCTTTCGATTTTCTGTTTGTTTGTTTTTTAATGAAGTATTCCGCTGAGGCCTCCCATGGCACTTTGCCATACACATTCATGGTGTGCATGTAGAATGTTTTCTTTGAGAATATCACAAGGAAACTACCTGTACAACAGTTTAACTGAAACAAGATTCAGTTTTATGCCATGCTGGTTTTGTTTTTAAAAGTGTTTAAAATGATGCATATATAAATATATATTTATATAGGATATATAAACAAGTGCTTCCAATGAACTGATCACATAGTACCTTACAGAGAATATTAATATCTTTATCCCCTTGACTGACAATAACACTCAGTAGTAATCTGCCCCAAATAAGGGACATGTCTGGAAATGGAGGCTTTGCTTTTTCAGCTTCAATTGAATGCTCTGACTTGGACTGGTTCCCAGAGATTCATGTCTTGTTTGGTGTTTTGACATAAACAGACAGGATTATGCATTCTCAACCTGTGTGTTGGGGGAAGGGATAGATAGAGGCACACTTCTTTGCTGTTGCTTCCTCCACATTGCATGCAGCACGATGATGATGTTTAAATGTGTTACTCCTTTCTCCATAGATAGACCCTGCATGACAAGGTATCCCAACTCCTGAGCAGCTGCTCTCTCTTCCCGGGCCTGCTCTTTCCAAGCCGGTCCTTTGGGACCTGACTGTAGGAGGTGGGGCACAGGAACAGAAAGAACTTTTAATGCTAGTTGCTAATTAATTACCTTTAAAAGCCTAACCTTTTTCAGATACCTTGCCTTTATAGATCCTATTGTTTTATCGGGTTGCTTATTACTTATCCTAGTCCGTATAAGACCACCAGGTTTTTTAGGCATGGAGGCTCCTTGATGCTTAAAAGTAGTGGGAGGTCTGAATTCTAGTTTACCTGTAACAGCATACAAAGCACATATAACAGCAGCAGGATGTGAGGCAGCCATATTCCACCACAGCTTGTTTTGGGTTAATGGATGGAAGTAGTATGGCAGTGAAGAACTCTAAGGTATCTGGATGGATGGGGCTCCTCTGTAGTGAAAAGAAGCTGGCTGTATGAATTTGGATTAAGAACTACTTTAACCTAGGACAGATGGCACCTGACAGCAGTATTCATATATTCATGTATACATATATCTACATACTCATGCATTAAAATGTATATATAAGTATACTCAGCATTTTCCTAAGTATAGAGAGTTCTTGGTAGAAAGCTCTCTAATACTTCAGTATTATCTGCCATTAGAAAACACAATTTAAACAAGCTGGACATTAACAACTTGCATGAGGTTGTGTACGCTGTTTTTTCAGTAGTCTTCACAGTCTTGCTTCCACATAAGCCATCATTTGTAGCACCATCCTCATCTTTCTCCTGCAACAGCTTTTGTTGCCTCTATTTCCCAGCTCCTTGCTTACCATGTTTTTAGTTATCCCAAGCTGCTGACCAGAAACATGCTTCTCTTCTGACATGTGGTGGATCAGAGATGCTTTCAGCATCTTGATACTGTCCAGACATGTTCTGGCACACTTGGAAAAATTGCAAGATAAAGAGATTACATTCAATTTGATAGTTCCCCAAAAGTTATGGTTGGATGGGGTGATAATATTATATTCCAGAGAAGTAACAATCACCTGATCTGAGTTTCATTAAATTCAAAAAAATTTCATTCAAAAAAAGGGTGTAGGTCAAAGCAATGGATGGATGGGATTTTTCCTGATATGCTATGGAGATTAAAGAACAGAAGTTTATTTTGTCTGTCATCGAGGATAAATAATATAATCTTCTGCAGAAAAAGGTCTGTATGAGATGCTGTAATTTAATTAGTATTAAGGCTGTGTTCAGAGTGATGTGAGTTTGTTCCAGAAATGTTTGCTCTGTGTTTGAGACAGAAGAACTTACTTCAAGGCATTGCATGTATTCAGCAATTTCCTTTGCAATCCTACTCTATTTTACAGCCTAATCTATTCCCAACTAAGATGTGCTAGAGATAAACATTGCAGATGCCTTTTTGTGCAGAGGGGAAGGAGAGGCAATTAAAAGTCTGCATGCTGTGAAGTCTCTGGGTGCCAACAGTGTCTGCACAGATTTTTACAATGTTTTAGGGAACAATTGGATTTTCCGCTGTCTGGGATGAGTGAACGCAAATTGTTTTTGAACAAGGACAGTAACAGTTATTTTCGCTCTGGCTGAAGTCCTGCTGGTTTGCATAAAGGTTTCCATTTTTATTTACTGATATCAAAGTCTTGGTGACCGAGTGGCTCCTCCAGATCAGATGATATTTTATTAGAACGCATCATTTAATTTCCGACAAAGAAAGAGCAAACTTTTGATAATGCAGTGCAAAAACCTGGGGTAGGGCAGTATCTTGTATTGGCCTCCATCAAAGACAAGGAAAAGCACAAAAGGACAAAACTGCCGGCCGTGGTCTGAATCAAACGGGGTTGCCTCCAAGAGTAGCAAGTGAGAGGGCTTTTCTTTCTTTTAACTTGCTCCCTCCTACATCATTACTGGGCTAAGTAAGACAAGAATTTTCTTTGGAATAATAATAAATGGGATAATTTGCTTCAAGAAAAGCTAGTTCCACATAGGAGACAGTTAAAGCCGCTCCATGGGAGCTTTATTTACTTTTTTCTTCAAAAAATTTTCATAATTCAAATTCTAAAAGCAAGCAGCCATTGCAAGGAAAAGGGAAACAACAAAATGTTGTGTTTGCTTGTCATCGCAGACCTTTTATACTTACGTAACTTCACTCCTATGTGCAGTTTCTTGGATGCAAGTATTGCTTGTCCAAAACATGGATTTTTGGTCTCAGATCTGTTCAGTCGAATATTCCTTTTCTTATTTTAGATAAACTTAATAAAGCAGTATACATTGTTACTTATATAGTATGCACAGTATATAGACATATTATATATTACTTATATAATAAGTATGTTGTTACTTAGATAGGTATAAAATTTACCTATAACTCTTAAGTAAAAGTTTTTTTCCATTGCTTACTATGCCATGTATTACTATATATGTTACCACACGTGTAGCTGGAGTGGGGCTTGGTTGTCAGACATTAAGATGACTTTGAACTTGCAGTAGCTGATAAGTATTTTATAGTTTCAGGTGTTGGCAAATTCACAAGCAGCCAAACATCGGGAAGTATAACTTGACTTTGCAAATTTAAATTAAAACTTGCATATTGCCTTACAGGGAACTTGCCTTTGTGTAAAATAACTTCTGCATCTGCTTCTGTGGTGAGAGAGCACAGCCAAAAGTTTTAAAGAGGTATCAAAAACTATAGAACCATTTACATTGGAAAGAACTTCCCCTTAAGAACCATTAACCCAGAACTGCCAAGCCCACCACTAAACCATGTCCCTAAGTGCCACAAGTGTCTTTTAAATAAATAGTAGCTGCCTGAGATACTTGATGCTATATATCTACTACACTGGGATTCTTACATTGGGAAGCTATGATGTAACTTGAAGTTAAAAAAATCTCATTAGCAGGAGCACACATTCCCTTAAACTAACTAAAGTAGTTGTGCAGTGTTATTTGATTTCAAAATGTAAACTTTGGATTCTTGTGCTGTGGCCTATATAAGAGCAAAGAAGGTAACAAAAAATATTTTAAAATTCTGGAATGAATTTTGAGATACTAATTAGTATTTAATAGGTGCCCAAGGATATTATGCCACAAGACTCACTAACAATTAGTGGGTCTTGTGCTCTGCTTGCTGTTGCTCTGCTTTTTAAGATTCAGAATTCTGCATGCATTTCTCAAAGGCCTAGCTCCTGAAAACAGGGCATTTTCTTTGTCTTTCTTCCCCCTACCCTCTGAAGTTACATTTCTGTTTCTTGTAAAGAAAAGGCTGAAAGTGCAAAAGCAAGTAGAAAGGCTCAGAAATGCCAATATAAATAATTCTAAATATTTTTCATGATTTAACAACAGTCTCACACTTCATGCTTGGCCTGATGTGTGTCTTTTTCAATGCCTGAAGCTGGTCATGGTCAAAGTCCCGTTGTTAAAAATTTCACACTGTGTTACGCTTCAGTAAAGTCAGATGCAGTGACGGCTCTAAGAAAGGCACCCATAATCTGTGGCTGTAGGACATAACAGGCTTTCTGTAAAGTGTACTTAAATTCCTCTCTTAGTACCTTTAGCAACTACACCCAGCTTTCCACAGCCATTACTCAGAACTGCCAAGGAAGCCCCCTCTAGTCCAGCCTCAGTGTGATCTGCGGGTGTCAGGGGACAAGGTGTGGTTTGGAGACAGAATTCTGAAGCTTCCAGGCCAGCAAAAGCTGGAAGCCCTGTGGGATGGCAGGGGAAGGAGGGACTGTTGACTCCAGGGAGGGAGAGCATGCAGCATCAATACATGGCCTGTCTTCTGCCAGAAGAAGTATCAACCTGACATGATGCATCCCAGAATCAGGAATCTTAGAGGAACAAGCAATTTCAGGGCTGAAAAAGGCTCCAAGGGATCTCCTTTCATCGCAATGTATTTATTTACTGCAGGTGAATGCAGGAAAGGTAAATGGGAAGATGACTAAACAGAAGGGGTTTGTAGTACTTGCAGAGCTTGCTTTGGAGTCTGAAAGGCCAAAACTATGATCACAACATCTAGCTGAAGACTGAGGATGTGATTTAGGAATGGAACAATTTATCAGACTGAATCTAAAGATAGAAGTAAGTATGCTGTATAAAGGGCAGGACGAAGATATTTTAATAAAACAAGCTGATCAAGAGAGAATAAGCAACTGACAACATCCAGAGGAATTTTTCCAAGAGGAGAACATCAGAAAAGCAGCCCAAATGGTATAATTTTAATATTTTTTTTGTTAAAACACATACATTTTGTATCTAACATGGAAAATTTATCACAATAGAAATAATTGAAACCTTGGCAAAATAAACATGAATTTTTATGCCATTCCACAATTATTTTTGGTAAATGCCTTTAATTTGACCCAAACAATAGCAAGGAGGCTTTGTGGGTGTCATAATATGCAATCTAGACCTGAATGATTTGTTTCAGTCATCATAAAGAGGAGACAATAGAGGAAACATGACAGAAATATAGACAACAATGAGTAGGGTAATGCACATAATTTTGGCTCTCCTATTTTCATGGAGATCTTTGTGGTTTGCTTAAACCCTCAGCTCCAAGATTCATGTAGTAAATAATTTAAGATTTCATTACTCAAAAACAAGTTTCTAATTTCTGCAATTGAAAAAAAAAAAGCTTATATACAAAGCAAGAATAGCAAAACCACGTATTTTTAAGAGACAAAAAGTAAGATCTGCCTTTATTCTAAAAAAAAATCTAAAGGCGTAAAGACTTGATCCTGTTATTAGAGCTCAGGTCAATATTTATAGTGTGTTGGTTGCTCAGACAGACGTTGCAAGCCTTGTATCCCATCCTTTTTCTTTCTTTGGCAACATTCTCTCAGAGCCTGCAAAATAACATACCTCTATCCTCTGTTCTCTGTGCTTTTTCCTTCAGCAGATGCTGCCAAGCCCCGCGTCTGATTTCAGTCCTGATCTGGAATAATTCCAGGGGTGTGCACAAAGCCATCTCCTTTCCTAACGGAGTGGTGGCAGGGAGGAGACTCAAAACTATTGTTCTCCCTCCCTGTGTCCCTCCTGCAGCAGCAGCCAACATTGTTCCTTTTTATTTACTTCCCCCTCTCTGTAAACCAGCAGGGCTTGCAGCAGAGGGATGCAGCTCTCCTCATTAAAGTAATTAGGCTGATTTATGAGAGAGTGGCACAGTGAAGGAGAGCTTTCCTAATACAGTGTTCCCCACGGGAGGCTGGGCACCCACCCAGCTGCTGGCAGTGCAGTGCGGGGCCTCCCTGCCAGCTCGGAATGGAGGGCCCCCATCTCTTCGACCTTTAATATCAGTGAAAATGGACAAACACATGCAATAAACACTTTCTTCCTTCATGTGATATTCTTCACAAGTTGTATGTTACAAGTTAGTATTAGAAGCCTAATTAAAGTAATTAGAGGAGAGGGATCCTTCCTTAGTGTTAACTAGTGTGAGTTTTGGCCTCTAAAGGACTCCTCAAGCCACTTTGCTGTGTCACTGGAACAGCAAGAGCTGATAGGGCTTTGTTCCTCTCCTGCTCTGTGGAAATTTTGCATTATTTCTAAGAAAGGCTTTTGTATGATGAGTTAGGAAATTTCCTTCTTCCAGGGAAAATGTTCTGAATATCTGTTGTTCATCACATTTCCTTGATATCTTCATGGCAACATACAATGTGTCCCTGGGAAGTCCTGCTGCACTTTGGAAGTCCCATTTAAAATGTACATGGGCCTATTTAAAAACACATTTAAGCTTTTAAAAATTTATTACATGAGCAAACGAAAAATAAAATATCGTTAACAATTCTGCCTGTTGTGTTTCTGCCAGGCACCAGGACCAAGCTTGCAAAACTTGCCAGCTGTCTGCACTTCCCAGTGCAATATTTGCAGTCACCTTTATGAAAGAAATGTGCCTATCACTTGTCTTCACTAACAGGGTGGTATTTATAGTGCCTGAAGGGCAATTAAGTAATTTTGTAATCATCCCCCAAGTCTATAAGAGTGTATTTTATCCAGGAGGATTTTGATGGTGCTAAAGACATGTACAATGGCCTCTCACATTGCAAACTCTGAAAATCCTCAATGAACCCAAGGAACTGCCAGTAGTACCAAGCCAGAGAAGTGAAAGCAGTAAAAGAATGAAGTGTATGTTAAAAACTGACATGAAAAATCTTACTGCAATTGTAATCACCTCAAAATGCTTCATATCACCCACAGGAAAAAGTACATAAGTATCCAACATGTTCTGCTACCTTCATGTCGTCTCAAATGCTCTCAGTACTCTTTAAACTGGAGCATTTGCCTCTGTATTTTGCATACACAGAACAGCAGTGCAAACTCCAGTTTCGTTCATCCCACTCCCTCATGCAAAGCCTCAGTGTATTTTTGGCTGCCACAAAGTTGATCCATGAAGAAATATACCCCTCTTTCATAGACTTGCATTCCAAAAACTAAGCAAGAACATTCCTCTTCATTTTGTAAAACAAGAGAGGTGGGAAGGGCAACCCCTGAGACCTTTACAGCTGGAAGAAGAACTTTGGTGCTTGTTGATACCTCATTAGTCTGTGTTCACCACAAAACACCATCTAAAAATGTGTCCAAACCACAACTTTATTGCTCAGGGGTCACTGTTTTGATTGGTAGGTATGCAACCTGATTTTTTGTGCCTCCAGATACAGTGATTTCTCTGATGGATGTGGGGCATTCCCATGGGAGGAGCTCATGGTGTTGCTGTGTGCAAGGGCAATCTGTGGGGAAGAGACAGCTATAAAATGGAGAAATGGTTAGAACAGTGTACAGTGTGCCTCTCTCCTAAACAATCATACTGTACTCTCTTTCCTTCTCAGAACTGCTGCCTTGGGGAGGTAACGAATTACCATTGCCATAAACCATAATCAAGATCAGATGTGCAAAGGGAAAGGCCTTGCTCAAATATCAAAGGGGTCTTAAACTGCCAAAACAGAGCAAGAAAGAGAAATCCTGAGGGAATCAGAGATGTAATTTATGACTGACCTTCATTTTAACTGGGAAATGTGTGCACTTGAATGGCAATGCTCCCATGAATGCATGTTTTATTTTGTTTCAGCTTATTGGGAATCTTTGCTGCAGCAGTATTGGTTTAAGCTCACAAAGAGCCAGGGACAAGGACTCACATATGCATTCCAGAAACATTTTTCTGCACTGAGCTCGTCCCAGCAGTGACAGTGCCCGGCTTTGTCATCCCTTCTGCCACAGCACTGCCTTGCAGGGCTTGCTTCTTTGTGTTTGCATCATTGCTTGCCCAAATGACTCCACATTTTTTGCATTCTCATAACCCAATTGTATGGGGAAAAAAGTGAAGTAACAACTCTTCAAGGGGATTTTTTTTGCCACAGGAGCAGTTGATACTTGAATGAGCTCTCTGTCATTCAGAGTCCAAGCAGTAGAGATAAAAACAGACATATTAAATCTTTGCAGTGAAATATAAAATCACAGCACCATAGTGCCTCAGCTTTCCATGTGCTGCCTCCCTTTTTGAATTTCACTGGGTAACATTTGGGGACCCACTATGCTTCAAAAAACTTAGATTAAAATCTAGCTCCAAACTTGTCTTTGCAACAGACCCAAACTGCACACTAAACACTGGAGAAATTCAGATCCACATTTCCATCTGTATTCTGTATTTCATGGCCCAATTCCAGCCATAGTTTAAAACAAAGATGCTTAGCTGCTGTCAGCTGAAGTACTGTGCTGGGTTCCCTTGGCTTCCCATCAGATACGCTGTTTTAAAGCAAACACTCATTTACATCATCTCAAAATTATATTCTGAATTCTTTTAATTCCAGTCTCAAAATTATACTCCATTATTTTAATTCCAGTTAAACATTTTGATGCAAAAGCATATCTTTTAAATTCTCCCTTACACTAAACATGAACTACAAGCAGCAGAAGTGCTTAAAAGTGACGGTGAAAAGAACAGATTGTCAGGCAAGCCTGTAGAGTTGTCCATTCTGAAGAAATCTCACCAAGGTGTTAGCTATTTGTAAGTTACACTTCTTGTCTGATAATTTGAAGAAGATATCTGTCATAAATGTCATAACTCCTTCACAGTTTCCCCTCTCAGCTTCCTCTGTGAGCAGCTGTCAGTATGTGTATGAAACTAACTTTAAAACCCCCAACAGATAGGTTTGATGGCTGATTTAAACAAAATGATCTTTCAAACTGAGCTCTTTCAGGTAAATCCCCCTTTGGAGTTAATTGGATGGGAGTATTTGGGTTATGTTTCATCACTGCAAGATGTTGTTCTGCCACACAAAATATGTCCATTTTCAGTAAATACGGGGATGTCTGCAACAAATTAACTTTGGAGTTTTGGAAACACAGATGGTGTTCGTTGCACTTTCCCAAAGGGCTACATTTGCTCTAGAGAAAGCAGAGCTTTTAGCTATTCTGTTATTTTTAGGAGTTTGTTCATCCCCATAATTTCCACTTCACTAAGAAGAGATAAAATCTGATTTGCCGTTTATCTGCTACCAAGCAGGCAGATTAAACAATTCATTTTGTCACTCGCGCCGTGTTTCTGCCTCCACCGGCCTTTAATTCTAAAACTCAGTATGTCTGTAAGGGGAGCCATGGAGGTTCGGCAGCGTTCGGTGCATCCCGGGTAGGCAGAAATGCCCCGGCGCTCTTTGTGCGCTTTGGCCCGGGCCGGGCAGCTCGCCCGGACCGCCAGGAGGGGGCGGCCCTGGATTTGGGAAAATAAGCGTGAAACATTTCATAACAGCCTTTGCTGCAGCTCATGCTTATGACTATCTATATTTTTGGAATTTTCACCCCATCATGCTCTAAGAAATTTAATTTAGGACACTCCTGGGAGGGCAGAATTCCTGCGACCTTTAAACAGAACGGGCAGTGGAAGGGCAGAGCGTGCAGCAGGGCTGCATCCGTCCCACCCAAACACAGGGATCCAAGGGAAAAGGCTAACTGGGAAGCCAGTTTGGCTTTGCTTCCCTCTAGAGTCGATGCATAGACCTGGCTCCTCTGAAGAGCGATTCAGCACATACAGCTGTCAAAAGCATCGCTCAGTCCATCATCCCCTGCTCCCAGGGAAAAATATTCCGTTTTTGTGGGCAATAAAACACATGTTTTTTGTAAATCCTTTATTGTGATGCTTAAGTCATTCAAAGTGAACACTGTGAAGTAAATGACTACTTTTTCACTTACAATGTTAAAATACACACAAGATGGCTTAAAGATGTAACTTGCCAGTGACAAGTTCTGTTAAGAAGTAAGACAAATATTCTTGTGGCAGAAGTGTCACTGATTGACTGGTAAAACATGAATTCAGGGAGGAATTCTGACACCTCTCAAGTGACAAATCATTACTGCAAGTAGATCAAATTATTCTCTTCTGAATGACACATTTGACTGAACAGTGTTTATAATAAGCAAATGGTGAGTTTGAGGTACATATGAGGGCAGAGCAGCAAGCTGCTCCTGCTTGGCAGAGCAGCACAACTTCCCTCTGCACCCTGCAGATTCCTTTGCCATCTGGGATTCCTCTGGCCTTCCTGATTTGACACTTTCCTTGCTGTTTCTGGGATCAGGGAACACACATTGTAAATGTTAATCTTTTACAACTTAGTTCCTATAGTACTGCATATGGCTTTAGGATCACTCATGGCCTAATCCTGAAGGTGTTCAGCAGCTCAGTGAAATTGGTTTCTACTGCACAGAAACTTGTAAAGTCCTGATGGGTTCCTGCCTGCATGTGGAGACAGCTAAAATACTTTCACAATCTGGTCCTTGCTTTGGCCCCTAGCTGTTTTGTTCCTCCTGCTGACTGATGACAGTGAAAAAGTAGGATTCAAATCAGGTTTTAAACCTGCAGACAGCCTGACTGCAGTATCTTGTCTTGCTAAATGGATGGTCTTTTTCTGCAGGTCCAGGACTTTTTTTCATTTGAGATTCCTCTACCTGTTATATCTTGTCTTCTTTTGTTATTTTTCCTACTGAACAAATAGAGACCAGCTGTGCTAGCTTAGAGTCATCTTTAATGACATCCTCAAGGAGCTGTGTGGCATCCCTCAAATCCTTATCAACAACAAGCCAGAGATGCAGTGCAGTAGCCTGCATGGATTGGAGAGAGAACAAGCTGTCCCCAGAGCTGCTCCCAGAAACCATCACCACCTTCCTCTTCCTCCCCTGGGAAGCTTCATAATCAGCCATAGCAGTGGCTGTGAAAATGGCTACAAGAACACAACATACAGGTTCCAGTCAGCAAGAGCAGGGGTAGATCATCAGAAGGTAAACAGAATACTGAGCCAGTTCAGAAATACTGTATTCGTGGAGCCTACACTGCAGATCTGGCTACAAGCATCTTTGGGGGATCACACCAGAGGACAGAAGTTTGGGCGAAGGGCCACTGCACAGAAACAGTCTGTCTGGACTCAGATGCATGTCCCAGCTTGCACAGAATGTTCTAGACTTGCTGCATCTGTCCTCTGGCTACCAAGATAGTGAGTTTATGGTTCCACATGGTTGCTCTCAAGGCCTCTTGAGGGTTTGCAGAGCAGCCTTTTTGTAGGTTCAGGCTTTCTTCCTACAGGCAGCCTAGCTCCAGGGGAAAGGGAGACTTCCAAGATGTTCTCGTGCCAGCCTTGATCCCTTAGTGCTGTGGCTTCTTTGACTGATGTTCACACAAAACTGAGCACTGCTGTCCTTTGTGGAGTTGTAAATTGCAAACTAATGTTCACTTGCCAGAAAGCTCTTCCTTCATATTGCATGTGACCCGCTGTAGCACACACAGACACAAATTTTTTTCCCA